TGTTTTTCTTTTTTTTCCTCCCCCTTTTTTTTAGATTTTTTTTTTTTTTTAACAGTACCGGGGATTGAACTCAGGCCCTTGCACTTGCGAGGCAGGCAGTAGAACCACTGAGCCAAATCCCCAGCCCTATTCTTCCCCCTTTAGAACAAACTTATGATCTTAATAGCAGAGCTGGTGATTCTGGCCCCTCCTTTTGAGATGATCGGCCACAGACTCTTTCTATAAAAACCTGGTGTTTTTAAGTCAGCATTACCTATTCCCTAGCAAAACAAACTTTAGAAAACTTTGTTTTGCTTTTGTAGACTGCAAGTGCATATCCTAACTAGAAAATCTGAGTTGGATGGGAAGAATACTACAACAAAAGCCTCATAGCATCCCATTGTCCCAAAGCACAGAAATTGCATTTGTCCCAAAGCCTAAGGGATTTTTAAATAAATCAAGATGTTTCAATGTGAAACAGTTGATGGGAGATAGGTGCCCAGGTGGCACTGCAGTGTGGCGCCGGTTATTGTGGTTTGTGTTGTGTATGGATCCTGGTGTTTACTGAGGCCAGCGGTTTGCTTTTGTTCTTACACTCAACATTTTTATCCTTGAGGCTCTTGTTGCCTTCTTAGCAAATTGTCACATCACCAGCATGTCCACCAGATGTAGTGGAATTCTTAATACAGTTTTAAAAGTTACTTGAAAGCTGAACTTAGCAGGGAAGGATGCATTGTGCTCTGGCTTCCTTTGTTTTTTCTGATTTACCACCAGCGTTAGGAGTAGCATGGTCATACATCACATGTCTTTTTGGGCTGCAAAGAGATGTGAGGACCTTCAGTGACTTGAGAACAGTTACCACACAGGGCTGCTATTCCTGCCCTGACTTTCTTCTTACTGGACGCCAGGTGGCGCTCCTGGGGGGGGCAAAATCTGAAAAAGTGAAGGTGAAGCAGGCTTAAGGGAGAAGAGAAACCAGCCCATAACTAACTGCGCATCAACCTTAGGAGGGAGAGAGCAGGCCGGGACCTCAGCCCTGTGAGAAGATGCATGCAGAGGTCAAGGTATACCTGCCCACTGAAACAGCTTGGTCTCAGGGCACTGTCATCTTCCCACACTGGCCTTCAAATACTGCCCTTCACTCTTGATTACCAGCATCATAGTCTGATACAGAAAAAACCCAGTCCACAGTGTGGCTAAACAAGTGTACTCAACATGAATGTGCTTGCCAAAGCAGAACTGCATTCTCCTGTTCCTTAAATCACACCACTCCTCCTTTGCCCAGCTGTGACACTGTCCTTGCTCTGGCCAGCCCAGGTAATCTGAAGTCTCTCTAGAGCATAAAGAATGTCCTTTGCCTTTCCTCAGAGGCCTGAGAGAGGAACAGGGACCATCTAGATTCCTTCTAGAGGTAGTGACCAGAGTGTCAACACATCTGGTTTTTTGTGACTATTTGGAAAAATCAGCTCTTCTTTACTAGTCTTAGTTTCTCCAGGTGTAATCTGGTAATAATTGTGCCCTCTAGATTCCTGGTGAGGGTGAATGAAATACCAAGTATTTCTCAAGTTCCACAATTATCCACCCATTTGCAAAAACAAAAACTGATACTTCTCTGTACCTCTCGGAAGAGTGGAAGTGTACTTCAAGCTAGGAAACCCTAACAACGAAATCATTTTTAAGTTACAAGCATTCCTTACAAACCAAATATATGAAAATCTGAATTTAGGTGAAAATATTTTTTTTTCAAATGAGATTCCATGTTTTTTAAAAATGTGTGCACACCTTTAAAATAGCTATACCTTCATGTGTATACATACATCTCTAAATGGTTTCATTTATGAAGATGAACTAGGATTGACCTTAGTTGCAGTCTTAACACCAAACACATACATGGTCCCTGTGGTGGGATCTGCAGCCTCCTGACCTAACAAGAAGCATCCACATCTCTGTTGGTGGATCACTGTGGAGGCATGTCACAGGGCATACATGTGTGTTCTGCTTCCTAACCATGCCCAACTATTTTGTTCTCTTCACTCTTTCTTTTCATGCCATTTATTATATGTAAAATTGGAATCTGTTCTTCCTTGGGCATCTTGTAGCTTAATCTCAATTTGAAATAATTTTGTCTTTTCCAGTTTCTTTGCTGACTTACTGAGACTGAATATTGTTAGTGTTCTGCCTTATGGTTCAGAATTTTCATCAACTCTGATTCTCATTTTGTATTTACAGATGTTGTCTTCCCTTTTTTGCTCATGTTAGAAAGGTGGTTTTCCTTGTCTTGCACAAGCAGCCAGGTCTCTGCAAGCAGGGCGAGGGGGCTCTGTGGCTCATTGGGCCAGAGTCAGCCTGTTCTGCTGGTGGACACAATGGAGTGTTTGCAGACATAGTGCTATTTTGGTAAATGAGGTGGGGAGGTTGGAGTCTCCTCCAATTCTGTACTTTTCTCAGTGTAAGACACTTGCTTCCTTCTTTCACTTTACCATCAAGAAGAGTTACCATGTCCCCTCCAAGAACTGCACCTTCTTCAGACAACCATCTCCAACTTTGTGACCTTTCATGCTTCTGCCTCTGGGTGCCTTGGTGGCCAGCACTCTCTGTACCAGTGTCAGACACACGAAATTTCCATCATGCACAGTGTGGCCCTTGACTCTTCCCTGTGTATTGCCACTGCTAAGTCGCTCTTGCTGTCATCTGTTTGCCATACACTCTCCACCACCTTCATTTTTTTCTCGTGGTATTGGGTATGGAACCCAGGGCCTGGTATGTGCTGGGCACACACTATTACTACTGAGCCACACCCCAGCTTGGTGTTGTGACACACAGGCCCTGACTGGCTCCAGTGTCAGTGCCACTCCTCTGCTTGTGTCTTCTCTGTGGCTCAGT